CTAGGGACAAGAGGTCGAAACTGAGATCCCTAGGGCAGCAGAGGCCGGCTTATATACATGGGGAGATAAGGGCAGGCTGTGCGCACTGGTCCATGCGCAGCTGGTCCGTGCGCAGTATGCTGACACGGCCCCAGGGGCCGGTGAGTCAGAGAGGCTGTGTCAGCGGAGCCCAAGCTGTGCCGTGCACTGCCGCTCATCTAATCTAATCGTACAGTAGATATGATGCATTCATATCGGGTATGTAGTACAGAGGTCGCGGGTTCAAGCCCGCGAAAAGGAAAAATAAAAAATGGCTAGACGCCGTACCAAGTCGTGACAATGAGTGGCCGGTACCCTGGAACAAAAAAGATGTTCAGAAGTTCCGGGGGTTCTCCAACTTTTACCGCCGCTTCATTAAGGACTTCGCTAAGATCTTGTGCCCACTCGACCGGCTCACAGGGAACGATCCATGGCGCTGGGGCAAAGAAGAGCAGCACGCCTTTGATGAGCTCAAACGGCTCTTTGCGACGACTCCAGTCTTAGCGCTGTACAATTCTAATCGAGAAACACGCATTGAGGTTGACGCCTCGGGCTACATCACTGGCGGCGTGTTGATGCAGAAGCAGGATGATGGCAAATGGCACCCCATTGCCTACCCATCTCATGCTATGGACCCAGCCTAGCGTAACTACGAGATCTACGATAAGGAGATGCTTGCCATCATTGAGGCGCTAGACAATTGGCACCACTATCTCGAGGGGTTACCCAATCAGTTCTAGATCGTCATTGATCACAAGAACCTCGAGTACTGGTGCACGTCCCAGCTCACGCGTCGCCAAGCGCGCTGGTCGCTGTTCCTGGCCCACTTCGACTTCCGCATCACGCACAAAGCTGGGACGTCGAATGGAAAAGCTGATGCCCTGTCACGTCAATCAGACCATCAGATTGGCGAGGTGGTTCTCAAGCCAGAGCGCTTCCGCATCGCCTCTGCAAGGTGCGGCCATGCCTTGGTGACGGCTGATCAGTTGGGTCTGAAACGCATCAGGGAATGTTCAGAAAAGGATTGTGTAGTGGCCGAGGCACTTGAAAAGGTGCAGGATCTCGGACCACCCTGGCTACGACGGGGCTTTGAGGAGTGGAATGCCAAACAAGGGCTTCTGCTATTCCGTGGGTGCGTGTACGTCCCAAAGAACACGGAGCTCCGGCGGGATATAGTCAAGATCCACCACGACTTGCCGATTGCCGGTCATGGTGGTCGTGCCAAAACCCTTGAGCTTGTATCGCGGAACTACTGGTGGCCAGGAATGTCCAAATTCGTCAATGAGTACGTGAGCACCTGCGATGTGTGCAACCGTACCAAGACATTTCCAGCCAAGCCCCAGGGCCCGCTGAAGCCGAACGAGATCCCCGAGCACCCGTGGCAGATCATCATGACTGATATGATCGTCGGTTTGCCAAAGTCTGATGGATTTGACTCGATCCTGGTCACTGCCGACTACTTTACCAAGCAGGTCCACTTCTCAGCCTGTCATGAGACCCTGACAGCAGAAGGTGCGGCAGATCTGTACATCCGCAATGTGTTCAAGCATCATGGGGCCCCGGCCAAGGTTATATCAGACCGAGGTCCCCAATTCGCTTCAAAATATCTCCATGCGGTGTACAAGGGACTAGGGATTGATCCGGCGCTGTCCACAGCGTTCCACACCCAGACGGACGGCCAGACTGAGCGCTGGAATCAGGAGATCGAGCAGTACCTGCGTGCTTTCACAAGCCACAGGCAGGATGATTGGGCGAAGCAGTTGCCGTTTGCGGAGTTTGCACTGAACAACCGAGTTCACTCCGCGACCGGGCACTCCTCTTTCTTCCTGCATCAAGGGTACAATCCTGAGATCCATGTTCGGATCAATCCGATGTCTGCGATGCCTGCGGCCGCTGATCGGCTCAAGATCCTGAAGGAGATTCGCAATGACACGCACTCTGCGCTTGAGCTGTCAGCCGAGCGCATGAAGGTGTACTATGACAAGCACGTGTAGGAGGCACTAGTCTTTGCGCCGGGGGACAAGGTCTGGCTTGATGCCCGGAACCTTAAGCTGAAACAGCCGAGCAAAAAGCTCAGTCCCAAGCGCCTCGGACCTTATGCCATGCGGCGAAAGCTCAGAGACTTGGATTATGAATTAATTCTGCCGAAGTCGGTGCTGGTGCACCCGGTATTCCATGTCTCCTTGCTTAGCAAGTACACACGTAGCGAGATTCTGGGCCGGGAGCTGGAAGAGCCACCTGCGATCGAGGTTGAGGGCGACAAGGAGTACGAGGTTGAGCGGATCAAGGATTCACGGATCTTCCGGCATCAGCTGCAGTACCTCGTCAAGTGGAAGGGTTATGACAATTTGCATACGTCATGGGAACCGGCGCGCAATGTTGCCAATGTGCCGGCCCTCATAGCTGACTTCCACCGGAAGAACCTGAACGCCCCTCGCCGCCTCAATGCCACTGTCTTTGGTGGTCTCAACTTTCAGCCAATGCCTTCGCCGCTGACTGAAGCACGCTGCCGCTCCGGGTGGGAGATGGGCAAGGGCTCCTCGCATGAGGTCATGCGCCGTTGAGGGGGGGGGTAATGTCACGAGTTGGTACAGCGTCTAGCCGTTTTTTAATTTTCTCCTTTTTGCAGGCTCGAACCCGCGACCTCTGTACTACATACCCGATATGGACACAACACTATCTACTGTACGATTAAATTAGATGGGACAGCAGTGCACGGCACAGCTTGGGCTCCGCTGACACAGCCTCTCTGACTCACCGGCCCCTGGGGCCGTGTCAGCATACTGCGCACGGACCAGCTGCGCATGGACCAGTGCGCACAGCCTGCCCTTATCTCCCCATGTATATAAGCCGGCCTCTGCTGCCCTAGGGATCTCAGTTTCGACCTCTTGTCCCTAGGTCAGTAAGCCCTCCTTTGTATTCCTTTCTTACCTTACTAACTAATACATTTACTTGTCCCTAGCCTTAGGTTTGAGCATCGCTCGCCATCGCTTCAGTAAAAATCAGTCGGACGCCCCCAGCTTTTAGGTTTCCCCAGTCGCTTGACCTGAAGTCGTGACACTCATCAATTCCCGTATATAACCCTTGGCCAGTTGCTCCTTTAGGAACTTGTTGAGTTCCTCCTGCTCATTGTTCGACAGGGGATACACCTTCGAGTGGAACATCGAGTAGCCGGGCATGAGTTCGATCGCGTGATCATAAGGCTTTCTTTCGGGTAGCCGTTCTGATGCTTCCTTGGAGAAGACATTCAGGAACTCGTGGTACTGTTTAGGTACCAACTCCTTGGCGGTCTTTACAACCTTCTTTTTGATCTCCTCCTCAGCAAACAGCTGGGAGTACGTATGCCT